TGCAGGCTGCGGGGAGTCTGAGGTTGACTTTTTTTTAAAGTTTTCAGCTGTTGATTTCCGCATCTGTAGATATGAAAAATCTGAGAGGGCTGTTTCTGCGTAAAAACCAATGGGAGTCAGTATAACCGCACAGGGCCGGATTTGGGACCACTCTGGTTATACCATGGATTTATTTGGTGTGAGCTGGGTGTGGTCTGGGGGTGGGTGGGGGTGTATTTGTGAAGGATTGAGGTGTCAAAATGTACCGCAAGGTAAAAATGGTTTGTCATTTGGGGTTTTGTTGTTGATCACCACGATTTTTAAATGGGCGATTTTGTGCATATGTTTGTGTAGAACCCAAAAGTCCTGACCCCCATTTGGCCGGGCTCCAGCCCACAAAGACGTGGGTAACACTGTAACACCAACACATGGCAGGTGCCAAAATGCTTAAAATAACTGGAGGTCCCATCAATGCACCTTTAAATGCCAAGAGAACTGAATCTGTTGGATCTTCAGGCTACGCTCTACAGCTAGATAAGTGGTTAAGTAAAGTCGCTTTGCATCAATATATGTCAGGTAAACAAATGCATAAAAGTTTTAGCGGCTGAGAAACAGGGTGCTCTGATGTGACGGAAGGGTAATTTTAGCAGCCGGCGGTCAGTGCACAGCCATTCAGCATCGTGCAGGACCATCAAAATGCCCGTAAACAGCCGAGTTCACAGGAGTTTCCGTGCTGACATTGCTCTCTGATCTTGGCTTGAGTCCAGACTAAGTGACAAATATTTTGATCATGCCAGGAGTGCAGGCATCACGCAAGCTTGGGGTCAAGAGCGCTCGCGCTGAACATGAATACAGATTGGAAGAGGCCCACTGCATGGGAATGGACCCGAGCCCCTGACAACAGATGCACTGCAGAAATGCTGTCAAAAGGCCAGCTGGTCACCCTGGCGATGAGGGCGTGTCCATATGAAATGTGGGACAGTCTCTGAATATGGATCTGCTTGTGTGTTCATATGCCTGCCAGTACACACACTCCTGTATGGATATGTATGTGTCACATGTCCGGCTGTGCCCTCCCCATGACAACAGATATTCAGATTTACTCACTCAAAGGACTCTAGCTTGACCGACCTGATTCAAAGTCCGGGTAAAAAAAAACAAAAAACGGTGTGAGCATGAGTCCAATTGAAAGGAAAATGACAGCAGTAGTGTGTTGGCCACCCTGGACAGCCTCCGGAGGCCTGGCGCCCTGTGCTGGAGAGACGGCTGTTTCGGGGGGAGAGGCGCGATCTCCAGCCACGGGCCTGCGGCCGGTGACAACCCCCATCCCACCACCCAGGGAGAGTGTCAGCACCACATTTTTCCAGTGCAAGAATCCCACCCGGTCCCTGTGTGAACTCTGCTGCTACTGCTGCATCACCCCAGGCACAGGTTTCAGAGCTTTTGTGAACCTTTCCGAATGATCGAACGCTAATAAGCCTGAAAGATAATCCGCTACAGGTAACTAGCAGACAGCACAGATTGTTAGCCTGGTAATTATACAGGCAAGATGAAAGCGATGTTCTCCATACCAGACACTGGAAACCGTGAGTACCTTCTTAACGGAATTGCAACGTGACATAAGAGAGTGAAGAAGACCTGAACCCCATTCACCCTGTCCTTTCTGCAATCTCTGTGTGGTCAGCACAGAACCCTGGGCGTACTCGTACATTGCAGGATGCAGAATAAAATCAACAAATCAATGAACATCGAAGCACGTATCTGCTGAGCAGGGGGATTTAAAAAATGAAAATCAATAAATTAACAAAACAGTAGTCCTCTTGGGAGGAATGCAAAAACCTTTTCTTATTAAAATAATCGTGTAATTAAAGGAAAAAATCTACTCTAATCTTTTTTTCCTCTCTTTCTTGGTTTTTTCATTAACCAGTTTTCATGTTTGAAGTTTATGACTTATCCTCACAAACAAATAATTGCTGCCTATCCTGCCGGGAATATAACACATTTTAATCAGTTCTAACCTCCAGCTTTGACATGTAAATTTAATTCTCCCAGATTCAATATATTTTTTCCTCTGCGATGTAAATATATGCATATTTCATATTAGTATGAGAAATTGCCTTTTTCTTCCCAGCACATAATGGTACAATAAGGAAGCGTCGAGCCTGAGGTGGGATCACACAGCAAGTGGATGTTTCTGGAATGTACCCAGTCTCATACGGTTCAGGCGTGGGGGCCTATTCTTCACCCCTGAGGTGAGAGCTGAGGGCTCCTGTTTCCCATCAATCAAAGTGGTCACATGGTCAGTCAGCATAGCAACATATTGCCTGTCAATGAGTCAATCAATGAGACTTCGACCGAGCAATGCTACACTGATAGGATTATCTGCCTTGTTCTTTTTTGTTTTCTTTTTTTACTGTAGAAAGCTGTTTGTTACATAATTAACCATTCTGTAAAAAAAAATGTGCCTGAGGTAAAAATTATATTTGTGATTACTCTCAGTCTTTGGTGGTCTTCATGGAAGGGCAGGTGGGTTAGACGCTCCACTTGTCTCCAGTATGGACGTCTCCAGTTAAGGGTTATGTTATGCAGTCATGGTATATTGCAATTTGTATTATTATTATTATTATTATTATCCAGTTGTAATATTAGGAGTATAGGGCCACTCAGATCCAATGAACCTACTTAGGTGCATCTAATGGAAAGGGTTCCTAAGGCAGAGGCCTAGTGATAAATCGCAGAGGAGCACTCCACCTGGGACCTGGAGCACTGCTTCGAGCTCGACCATGAAACCAACTCAGCCACATCTGCACTTCATTAAGATCAGTGTTGTTCCACTTCCACAAGTACTGTGCCGATACAGCCACTATAGACAAGAAAGTAATTACCTGCATACAATCTCCAAGGCTGATAGTGCAATAAGCAGATATTAAAGCTAGATTTTTAACGTAATGAGAAAAAGTTAAACCTTAACGTTCTCATGTGTCAAGTTCAGAATCTGGCTTAGTAGGTATCCATGTGGGTGATTTAATATCAATTCACGTCTCATTGAAATTACTCTTCAAAAGGATTTTATGCTGTGATGCAAAGATTAATTCGCCGTTGTTTAGGGCATGACTGGGGAGTTTATGAATAGTAAATTTGCAAAGGATGTAATACACTGCGCTTCTGCAGAGCCGGTGCATGCAGCTCCAAGGTGCCTTTTGTGTTACCATGACACTATTACTCCGCTTAATTCACAGAATATTCATATTCAAGTAAATACAGGCATATGCTTTTAGAACATTTCATTTGTGTCAAAAACGGTGTAATTAAATATTTCTTCACTCTCATTTTGAATTACCGGGATGTATTTTTTGATTAATAATCACTGCTTTGCATGGAAAATGCTTGCGACAAATGACTGACATTTCATTCATGTAACACTTAAATTACTGTTTGCCAAATCACTGATTATGTTAAAGCTGCATTTTAAAATGTATTTGCTGTGATCTTGGACATTTCAAAACATTATTTGCATCAAACAAGTGCACCTATATAATACAGATGTCTTTTTAAATAATAATAGGACTCACTCCATTAAAAATGCAACAATTAATAGTTTCCATAAGTATTCTATATAAATAATTACTATAAATTTTAAGATTTGTGGATATCTTTTTCATATCCAGATCCATGAATTGTGATAATGCATTCACAGAAGCCCCCACTATGACACAGTAAACTTGGGATAGTAAACTATGGGACAGTAAAGATGACCCCCCAGAGAACTGGGATCGACCTTTTTGGGGATCATTTACTCAAATCCCCATCATTCATCTCTGCTCTTATAGAACAAAAAGCAATACTTTTTTTGTTTCTATAGTATATATGTTTCACTTATGCTTTTGTATTTTGTGAGATTGCATTCCTGCTCACAATCACGTATCATGACTGAGATACACAAAAGTTGTGGAATTGGGAAGGAGAATGGATATGCCCGAATGGATGTGCCCGAATGGATGTGCCCAAATGGATGTGCCCAAATGGATGTGCCCAACTTACATTTTCAATGGAACAGAACACAGCACCCAGACAAAAGGATGGCAGGACCTGGTGTCTGACTCAAACTCATATTCTAATTTTTTAGACACCACACTGCCATCAGAACAGAGGCAGCGGACGTGCAGCAGTTATGAAGGATACTCAGAATGCGTTTCCACGCGGGATTCCAGTGGCTGACTTTGATATATTACGTCTCCTCTGGATGATTGGTCGATTTTAGGTTTCGGTGGAGTATTGCAATCATTAGCTGAATTTTGTCAGGACCATCTGGTATTCCCAATTACCGAGCGAATTAATGTGAGGGTGATGGAAAACAACAAAAAAGCAGCCCTAAACGGTGATGGCCAAGCTCATCATTCATGCGAAGACTGTGTTCACACGTAGAAGTGCGACTGTTTTATAAAGCAGCTGTTAACATCTCGGTTCATGATGGAGGTGATCATATATGTGTTAGATTACTTCTTTTGCATAAGTGGCTGCGTATGTGTGTGTCTGTGTGAGTGTGAAGTCATGTCTGTTATTTGTGCTGCTACATGTATTTAATGATTTGTTTAATTAGTGGAAAAGCTTTGTGTTTCTCTTTCCTTTAAATTGGAAACCTAGTCAATTAAAAGAACGCACATTTCAAAGCGAAATCACAGAAAGAAAAAATATATCCAGACTACTGACGTTCATAAACTGTCTTACCCTATTTTATATATGAAAAGCAGTTACATGAAGAGTAAAAGATTTGTTATATTCCTATTAATGAGACCAAGTCTGGCTCATTAAAGTGGGAGTCATGTTCCATCAACGTGTCTTAAATGAATCCCCGCTGAGGTACCATGGTAACTTAGGCGAGTGAGCAAGTCTGATCCGGACCAGGTTAACTGTCTCGCTTACTTAAGCGTTGTCTCAACGTCCGAAGTGTGGGAACAGATTTCAAAAAGATCGTTCCGTTGGACGAAATTCCTCGGTCTCACTACTCATGTCATGTAATAATTATAATAAAGCCAATAAAAATCACGTCTCAGGATTCCAATGGGTCGTATTAAGCTGACGTCATTGTCCAAGGTATGCATAAATGAAAACGAGGCGGCGGCTATTTTACCGGGGTGCGAGTGACGACAGCAGCAAGAAAACCCCGAAACTAAGTTTAATTAAAAATACAGAATAACATTATACAGTAAGAATGCCACGTAAACACAATCCAGAAGGTTCCCCGGTGGCTCTGGGGATCGAACCAGGAACTTTCGCAGTGTAAGACGACAGCATAAACCACTGTATCACCACGGTACTGTATTACGTACTTGCAACATTTACATAACTTACGCATTTAGTCTGTCTGCGATTCTTTGCCAAGACAACTCCCTGGCTGTATTTATGGCCACAGTATTGTCTTTTTTAGCGATTACATCTTTGTATTTTTCATACAGCTCCATCAGTAGCGTTTGTTCTGCAGCGGGGAAAAAAACACCGATCTCGTTTTACACGCTTTCCGACTCATTTGAGCGATCTATCGGTCATCCATTTATTTGGGCTTCTTAAATATCTCAGGTGTGCGCACTAAGTGAGACTATGCAAGTCTGTCTTGTATGAGCCTTGATTATAGTTAAAGCTGAACTGCGTTAGTGGAATGACTTGCGGCAAAGTTTAGAGATGGCGCTAGTTTGAGTCTGACTTTTTCGGGAAAGTCTGGCTTTCTTTAGTTACTTTCATGGAATGCCCCCCAGATCTAGCTTCAAAATTCCCAAATTTAAAACTGAGCTGACATGAGTGAAGAGCCTTTATCCCATAATACATTGAAGTATCAGCCTGTAACCAACCTGACAATATTATGTATTTATAACTACTGTACAAACAAATAGCATTCCACTGTACATTACAACAACAATAATAATAATAATAATAAGCTGGATGTAATGGAATGGGCTCGGAGGCGCTTTGATGGCGAGCTGCACTTATTGTCATTATTAAGCTCAACCCCCAATTCATTTCCATAACCTATGGGTGCCAGATCCCCATTCCCCCGAAAAAAAAAACTAAAAGAAAAAAAAAATCACTTGGATTTCAATTGCCCGTTGAGTGGAATCATACCATTACTGGGGGGGGCGGAGAAGTTGGGACTAATTAAAACTTATTGATCTAGCCCTCCATATAGCCAGCGGTCTGCTGTTTGATCCTAAAGGCACTATTACTGCTCATTTACAATCACATGCTGTTTGGATTCCATGTTTAAATTATATATCAATTGAACTTATGAACTCTGTAGTGCCCAATGATTTCTATGTTAACATCAATAAATCTTCCATCCATCCATCCATCTGTCCATTTTCTGACAGCTTAGGTTGTATAGGGTGGCAAGGCTCAATCAATGAAATTTTATTGCATATTGAATATACAGTAATTGGTGCCCTGCAGTGGGTTGATGTTCCATCCTGGGTTGTTCCCTGCCTTGCGCCTATAGCCTCCAGAATGGGCTCTGGATCCCCCGCGAGCCTGAATAGAACAAGAGGTTACAGAAAATGGATGGATGCATGCATGTATGGATGGATGAATGGATGGACAGATATAATTGGAAATTGTTACAAAAACTTTCACTTACACAGAGGACATTAAACACCAGAAAGAAATGAAGAAGAATATT